ATTTCAGTGTTATAAAGTGTTATGTGTATGTAAACAAAAGTGACCTCTTTTATCACACACTATATTAGAACTGACTGGCCTACATTAAAAAGGGTTTTAAAAAATTCACATATTTTTTTTATTTTTTAAAAATTACAAAAGAGAAAAAGAGTTTTTAAAACCGTCTAAGGTATGTTAAATAGATGAATAAAAATATTAATATAAAACTTACAGCTACTTGTTACAAATCCAAATCAGATTCAGAAGATGAACTTTCAGAACCAAGATTTATAATAACTGGCTCGATCATTTTATCCGTAATATTGTCCAGCTTCCACATTTTTTCCTCTTCTTTAATAGTGTGATTTACTGCCTTTTTCCAGTTTTCAGGTTTTACATTATTTACGGCCTCCAAAAACAACTGTTTAACATCATGAATTTTAAAAGTGGTATTTTTTCTTGAAACTTCACTCTTTATCTGTGCCCATACCAGTTCAATTGGGTTTAATTCACAATGATATGGTGGGGATCTAAGTACTGTCATTCCACGATTTTTGGCAATTTCATCAATTTCGTATTTTTAAAATTTTTCTTTATGAAGGGCACACAACGAATAAAGTTCCTTTCTTATAGATCCGGGATGGTACGTAATATTTTTTGAACTCAGCCAATTCTGCAAGTCTTTTTTTAACCACTTGGTTGTGGGCAGTCCTTCTATAAGTCTGGAGTGATAACTTGCATTATCCATTACTATTACACAGTTCTTAGGAAGAAGATCTATCGTTTGTTCGAACCATTCTTAAAAGACATCAGCGTTCATGTCTTCATGGTAGTCACCGGTACGAGTTGATTCAAAAGTTAATAAACCACCTTCAACAAAACCGTCTGAACTGCCAATGTGTATTATTATCAACCTGCGTCCCTTTCCTGATGGTGGGTTTAAACCAGTAGATAAGTTATTTACAAAAGCGTGCCTTTGACTTGTAACAGTTTCATCCTGCCAAAATTTATTTGGTGTATGACCCTCGTTGATCCATGTTTCATCAAGATAAATTTTTTTTTTTTGGTTTCTCATTTCTTTTATGGTTCTTAGAAAATGTCTTCTCCATATGACAATATCGCTTCTTTCTAATAAAATAGACTTTCTGGGATTCTTTTTCCAGCGGAAGCCTATTTCTTTTAAAAGTTTCCATAACGTACTTCGACTCATTTCTGGGTAATCCTTATCATCTCGAACTGAGACAAGAACTTTATCCAATGTTGGAAATTCTTGTCTAAAGAAGAATAAATGCACTTTCCGTCGAAGTCCTTCTTTAAAATGATATTCTATTTGAAATTTTGGTTTCCCTGGAGCATTACGTGGCATTTGAAAACTACCACATTTCTCTTCTTTAATAACTCTGTAAATCGTAGATTTCCCAACACCCACAAGTGTACTGCTAACTAACTCAACGGTCTCATCAACACTTTCACATAAACGTTTGTCTGTAAATGATTTTAAACAATTAAATATTAATGTTTTTTCATTAACTGTTAAAGGACCAATTTTTCGGCGTTTACACGGCACTTCCAAATTTTCCATAACACTAGTATACACAATAAACTGCACCTTGCAACTGAAGTACCTACTTTTAGTGAACTGTTAAGAATTTTGAATACGCCACTTGGACCTTCCTACAAAATGGAAAAAACCCACTATCACATTTTCTGTGGAATAAGTTTAGAAGGTAATTATCTAGTCAATTACTGTCGTAGATTCCTGGAATTAAATAATTAAATGTTTGATTGTTGAAACCCTTACTTCGTGGAATGCACTCATTTTAGATAAAATAAAACGTTTTATTTTATCTAAAGAATTAAACTTTATTTTGCAAATAGGTAGGTACTTATTAAACTTTTATTGGTTATATTATAACCAATAAAATAAACATCTTACATTTCTTGCAAATTCATTAGTACCTGTTAACCTCCATCACTCCGACACTGGCAACCTTATTTAGGGATTAGTAACCCTCACAACTATTGTATTCTATTCTGCTCCAACCTTTATACCTGGTGGTCATACTCAATTTAAAATTGTTTTCCTATATACTTCTGTAAACTTGTTGACAAATATCTGTTTTTCATTGAATCACCCGTATCAACAGTTTAGGGATTTGCATACATAATTTATTGTTTTATTACTCTCTCATACATAAAAATACACTATAGTATGGGATCAGGAAACAAAAATCTGCTATACTGGTAGACGCTATAAGCAGGATCAAGAGAGAGAGATATCTACATATTATAGAGCTTTCTTCTTCGATATAAAAAATGCTTTTAATAGTGCTAGCTGAAAAATTATCGTCAGATTACTGGACTACTTATGAATATCTCCCTATCTGCAGACTTGGTCAGTGACTATTTCAAAAACAGATACATCAATATTGCGAGGAGTAACTTTATGAGAACCATGTCGGAAGTGCTGCAGGGCTCCATCATGGGGCCATTACTTTAGAATGTTCTGTACAACGATAACAATAGCATATGCGGATGACCTGGTGGTGAAAAAATGGGGCGAACAACTATTGCACCTAATTAAAAGCTGACGTGATTCTCTAAAATATGCTGAAGATTGAATAAATACTTTGCGTATTCAAAGGAACAAAGAAGAAAACATTTTACAATGTTGTTCCCATTACCGTTTTTTAAGCAGCCTTTACTAACCAATACGCTATTAAATTTTAAATTGAATTGTTTTCAAAACGTCAACAGCAAGTTTTAATGCAACTTTTAATAATTTTCATGCGAACGAGGCCTTAGATTCCAATTCCAAGAATGGACATTTATTTATAAGAATTTATGCGAATAAAGTATATAAATAAAAAACAAACACTTTTTTAATTTCCGCTTATTTTTTTGTCTCGGAGACATGTTTCTATGGTGAAAACTTAATTTCCTATATTAAGCGTGTTTGTTTTATAAACATTTTGTCAGAAAACAAATGTTTAAAAAAGCGTGCCAGACGTTTACAGTTACTGACTAATTACTAGGATATAAAAGAAAAATGCATAAAAACGGACCCTCCTCCTATTTTGTTACGTATGTAAACGATACAACGTCCAACCACCGCATGTGATGTCAACTATCGAATTTCTATCATGTCTACGATTGTAAAAATTAGTTCACGTTTGCAGATACTTTTAAAACTAATTTATCTTGTCGATTTTATCGTATACTTATGAAGTAAACAGTTTTCTAGAAATATTTTTCTTCTTTACCCTCGCTATCAGAAATTCTGCTTGTTTGTTGGCGGATTATTACCCCCATAGAAGATTGTCCCTCCTTTTGCGCTGTTCGTGTGCCCCATATTTTAGTAGTTGCGCAAATTTATATTAACTTCTAGGTTTTAATGTCATTATTTGTTATTCCTATTTATATCTTCTTTAAATAGTCAATTCATGTATCCGATCTATGTATTTCTTGTAAATCGTGTGAATTTTCGATGATCAACCATCATCGCATGCCTCAAATATGCTGTAACCATTCCAACAAAATGCTTTATTAGTTTTTTGATGCAATATCTGACTAGTACCCAAGAATTAGGAGTTACAGTTTGGTCAACATCTTTAATGTTATTACCATCTTCAAACTCATGCCAAAACTCTTCAGAAGTGTTAAAGGTTGCAAATCTGTGCTGCTTGACGAAGTTTATCTTTTTATATTTCTTTTAGCTGGTTTAGGTAGTGTTAATTTTTTACTGTTTTCTTTTAGTCGTTTTACTGTCTCTTCTGAGAGTGATAAAGTAACACTAGGCTCTTTTACAGCCCTTCTTTCTTTTGATATAGAAGCCACTGCTTCATTTACTGATGAAGAAACCACTGCAGTGTCATCTGCTATCGAATTTCAGTTAACACGGACAGTACTTTGAGAATCGTTCCATTTTTTAGTGCTTGTGGTGGAAAGCTTCATCTGTAATATTTTTGTCAATTGGGAAAATTCCATATTTTCAGAATCCACCGACTACAACTTCTGTTGAAATAGGTTTCCAAGTATCGCAGAGATACTGCGAAAAAATTTTCTTTGACAGTTTTTGGCCCACATACTCTATTTGCCAAGATATCAACTTTTCATCCCATTTTAGTTTAAGTGGAATAAAAATAGACATATCTAATGGTTGCAAAAGATGACTGCTGTGTGGTGATAGTTTTAATATAGTTATGTTGTTCTCGATCGCTGCTTTAAGTATTTCCAAGCTTATATAGGTTTAGTGACCATCATAAATGATTAAAACGAGAGGTTCTAGACCGAGTGCTGTAATCAAAGTTTTCCGGAAGTTTTGTAAAAATATCACTCTCCATCCAGTATTTCTTACTGCCAACATAAACGATACCCGGAAAATCTAGTCCCGCAAATCATTCTTACTATTTACTGGTATCCATTTCATGGCGATTTTTTGTAGTTTTGTTTCTAGCATTCTTTGAACATGGCCATACCATATAAGTTGTTTCCTTTCTATGTCTGTTACCAGTGATCCATCTACCTCCACCCGATTCCTTATTTTATCGTTTCTATTCTGTCTGCCCTAGATATTCGAAGTGATCGTCTAAATACATCCATTTCTGTTGCTTCGAGTTTTCTTTTATTGCTTTCTGTTAGTCTCCATATCTCTGTACCATAGGTTAAGCTGGTTTTTATGAGAGATTCATATATATTGTATTTTCGTCTTTTACCAATTTCTGAGCTCCAAACAACTCCGTTAAGGCATCCAATTGTTCTACGGGCCTGGGTTATTAGTTTTCTAATTTCCCTATTGTCTGTGCCTGTGGTGTCGAAATCAATTCCTAGGTAGGTATATTTAGTGCAGAATGCAATTTTGGTTGTGTCCATCTGAATGTTGGATAGCATATCCATTCGTATATTCCTCTAGGGAGGATTCTTTATTGTCCAGCGATCTTTCAATTCTTCCCACTACATGATGCAGTGCAGAATCAGTAGATCTTTCCGAACTGCATGCTGATTTGAGCGACGTGGATTCATCATCATCTTGGTGCTACAGCCCTTAGAGGGCCTCGACCTTCTCAAGCTTTCTACGCCATTTTGTTCTGTCCCTTGCTTGCATTTTCCAGTTGCCGACTCCGATCTTCTCCGCATCTTGTACTACCCCATCCATCCACCTCAGCTTTGGTCTACCCCGTCTTCTTATTCCCATGGGTTGTGCTGTTAGAATCTTTTTTATCATGTTCGATTTCGGGGCCCGGGTACATGTCCTGCCCACTGCAGGCGGTTTCGCTTAATTATAGTGGTAATATCTTTACCACCAAACGTATGCTTGTAGATATTCTCCAGTTCAAAGTTATATCTACGCCTCCATATTCCGTTCTCACAGACCGCTCCGAATATCTTGGGTAGCACCTTTCTTTCAAAAATCGATAGAGCGGATTCATCTGTTTTCGTTAGCGTCCATGCCTCTGATCCATATGTGAGAACGGGGACTATCAGTGTTCTATACAGCCTTATACGAGTTTTTTGAGACAGACGTTTGTTAGCTAAGTACTTTGATAGACCATGATAACACCTGTTTGCAATTATTATTCGCCTTTTTATTTCCTCAGATGTGTTATTATTAGGGTTAACCGATGTCCCTAGATATATGAACTCTTTGACTGCTTCGAAGTTTTGGTCATTGATGATTAAATTTGTGTCAACATTTTCAGATCTTGTGTTTGTGATAGTCGCCATGAATTTGGTTTTATTTTGATTTATATGTAACCCCATCGGTTAGGATTTCCGCAGTTCTCGCCCTAGTTCTTGTTATAATGTCCACGGCGTCTGCATATGCTAGAATTTGGACTGATCTAATAAATATTGTTCCCCTGCTATCTAAATTAGCGTCTCGTACAACTTTTTCTAAGGCGACATTAAAAAGCTGACACGCCAGCGCATCTCCCTGCCTTAACCCCCTATGTATTTGAAATGGGGTTGACGAGTCGTTTTGAATTTTTACTGCTGATAGCATCTTCGCTATTATCACTTTTATCAAACATATGAGTTTTTTTGGAATTCCCAACTCATTCATAGCGTTGTAAAGACTTGGTCTTAAGACACCGTCATATGCCGCTTTAAAATCGACGAGTGATGTGGATTATGGACCAGAACTTTATCACTTATGTACCTCTCGCGTAGCATTTCCATCCAACAGAAAGGAAGTTAGACTAATTGGTTGGAAAACCTTTGGTAGGCTATAGTCCATCCTACCTGGTTTTAGTATGAAACTCACATGTACCTCTCTCCACTTCTTAGGAATATATCTTAGAGCCAAAGAGGCTCTGAATATTTCGATAAGGTGCGGCAGAAGAATATCTACTCTCCACCGTAGTAGGGCTGGGTATACGTCGTCAGGCTCTGATGATTTGAAAGAGGTGAAGAACAATACGGCCCATTTTACCTTTTCCTCATTAATCATTGTTCGGGCGAGATGCCAGTCGTTTATTGAGGCTATGATATTCATCAAAACCTCAGCAGTTTCGCAAAGGTTGGAAGTTTTGTTTCCATCTTTTTTCGGTAATATGCCGATCTGCCGATGTGGCTGCTTTGAGAGAACTCTTTGTAGCTAGGAAATCTACGATTTCGTCACAAAAGGTTTTCCAAGTAGCCCTTTGTCTTTGTCGGCAGACTTTCCTAAACTCTCTTAGATTTGATTGATAATAATCTAAATATTCTTAGAGTTTGGTGCGTTTTGCTCTATTAAAAGCTGTTCTTGGTATCTTCCTAAGGTGTTCCAGTTCCGTGCAACACAAAGAGTTGGTTTTGCGACTTTCCTGGATCATCCTTATTGGACAAGATTTTTTATATGCATAGCTTATTTTGTTTTGGATAGATACCGTATACCTTTCCAATGCTGTATTAGTTCCTAGACTTGAAGGTTTTCATTCTGCAGAGCATCTTCTAAGATTCGGTTGTAGAGTTCTTCTTAAAACTACTCTTCTTCACAGTTAAAACAATTTTGCATTCCTTACAGAGTCTACTTATGACTTCACTATTTGATACACCATCTTTTCGGGAGATATTCAACATTCGTTTATAGCACCACGCCTCCAAAGCCTACAGTCGTTTGTGTAGTGATAATGATTGTACGGTTATAATCTAAGATTCTAAAGGCAAAATTTGGGGAAAGTAGAAATATAGACGAGGTAGAAGAGAGCTGGAAAATGTTAAAAAAATGATAACAGATACCGCACAAGAAGTGAAGAGGGAAAACTCAAAAAATTCTAAAAGAGGACTGCTATTGTTCTGAGAACTGCTACAATGAATAATTATTTAAGAAAGCATGCCAGGAGAGAAATAACGCTAGGTTAAAATGTTTGTTAAATAGATGAGTAGACAATAAAAACTTGTACAAGAAAACAGAAAAAATAAAAGCAATTTAAGGTCACCAAAAGCCAAGGGCATACGCCGCCTATAGCGCTATTAATATATCACAATTATTGGATTTGACTAATTTTAAAATATATTTATACATATTCATTAATAATTATTTGTCGGTTTAAAAGAAGTGTTACATTCCAGCATAAATGATGAATGTTTACATGGAACCAGTATTTTGCTGTTAACGTTAAATTTAGATGCTTTTCCTTCGACTATAACGGCAGTCACTTGAGTGCTTCTTAGAAAGACTTTCATTATACCCGTCAAGTCCACACTGTAAGTTCATAAAATAAGCGCAAAAATATAATGATTCTTGTAATCTGAAGATGTAATCTTTAAAGTGGAAGAAAGGCACTAAAAAAAGGAAAAATAAACATTCGTAAATTCATCGATTGTGATTATTATCTGGGCTTGGAAATAGTTGGGGGCATTGTTGACCAAATTTTAGAATTGGGCTTCGTATGTCACCATCTGATGCTTAGAATTTAAATGAATAAATTAACGAAATAAATAAAAAAAAAACTCAGTAAAATATGTTACACAAAACAAAACAGATGACAAAAAATGAAAAATAAAAGTCATTCAAAAGTATTAAAATAAAAACAATTAAGTGATATATGGTTGAATGCTCGAATAAATGAATTTTAATCAAATAAAAGGCAGATATTGAGCACAGTTTTTATTAAATCTTGCCCAAAGTACTTTCGCACCTAGAGCATTTTCAGGGGTATTTCTTCAAAATTAGGCTATCCAACAATTTGGTGAATGTCATAAACATTAACTAATACATTTACACAACACGAGGCAACGGACAAATAGTTTAAAAATTATTATGAAATTGAAGAAGCTACATATTGTATGTCAGCAGGAGAGAGAATGACTCCAGGTTTTAACGGAAATATTAAAGTGACATCTGACATTATAAACTTGGATAGGCAGTCACAATTATGGTGATGTGATCTGCACATTTCAAAATTCTATGAACCTGAACATTGATCAAAAGTCCATCTGACGCTACTATAGGAAGTCAAATGATGCAATGTAAAATTATATAGATTACTTTATCTAGACTGCATAATCTAGATCTTACACTCAAATCTGTCAGTAATAATTTGAGTGTTAGTTTGTGGACAACTGAAGTGGACATAGAATGTGAATGTAAGAAAGAGTATAAATGGGGTATAATACCAATAGTTCAGTTGAATCCACAGTCAATCGGAGAATCATAAAATTAAAATTACTCAGGACTAACTGACAACAATGGGAGATGTTGAAATAGACAACTGTGAAGATGATATATCTCAATTACAAAGAGATATGGAGAGTATAATCAACCCCAACTACTTATCAATTGATCCTAACAAGCTTGTTTTGCAAGTTATTAAAAAATGAAATAGTAATATTACTCAAAATATGAAATTAATAAACTCTTAATGGGTATACTCAGTGCAGGAAGTCTAAACAGTCAAGCTGGGTCACCAAGTTTTTAAAAATAGGTTTAAATTTGGTACAATTTAAATTAATTTGAGTATTAAGACAGTGAAAGTTTTCATTTTTTTCCCTTGTAATTTCCAAATCTTCCAATAAATCCAACTCCAAGTAGTGTTTCTTTCTACTTATGTCATGTAAAATAAATGAACCAGTATCGACATTAATAAATAGTGACCAAAACTTGAAGAATGTGATCTTTTCAAATGGTCTGTGATTCTAGTAGATAACTTTCAAATGGTTTTACATACAAAGACGTATCACAATCATCACATTTTAATTTATAAATACCACTTTTGTCAAGCGTGTTCATTCTATCTTTGGTGTTGATTAAAAAGGAACTTTAAATGTGTTGTGTGACTTGAAGGAAATTTTGATGTCTTTAATTGTAGAAGTGAAAAGTTTTGATATTTTTTTTGGAAATGTTGCTGATATAAGTAAAGGAGAAATATCTGATGTTTTTTGTGGCATTGGGATGAAGCAGACATTGTGATGAATAAGCAAGCTTTTCTGCAATTTTAAGTTTAGCTCTATTTAGAAGCTTATGGATGATGTTGGGATTATAACCATTATTGAAAGCAATTTGCTTGAGAATATTAAGTTCTAAATTGAAGTTCTCATTAGAAAGTGGAAATTTGAGTAACCTATGAATTTAACTGTTGAAATCAGCCATTTTATGTTGGGTCGGATGATTAGATGTTTCATGTATAACATGATCTGTTTAAGTAGGTTTTCTGTAAATATTGTACTCTAGAAAATCTTTTTTACGAGATATAGTCATATCCAAGAAGTTCAACTTATTGTCTTCTTCTGGTTCCAGTGTAAAAGAGATGTTAAGATGGAGGTTATTAAGATCGTCCAGAATCTTTAAAGTATCATCTTGGGTTCTCTGTATGAGAGCTATACGATCATCAACATATCTTGAGCAAAAAACTTAATAAAGGTGTTAAGTGGATTTTTTTTCCAAAATTACAAAACTGTTATCTGGAAGGAAACATTCTACTTTATCTATGTATTGAATTTGTTCTAGGATTACAACACAATTTCCATAATCAGCATTGCTAAGTACTAGAGAATCTGTATCGATTATTTGTTTAATTGATCTTGGCACTGATTTGTTTTTGTAAATAATGGTGATTTCTATGAAAATTACGTTTGTACTTACATTGTTGTTGTTGAAGTAAGCTCATGCAAGAGTTTCTCAAATACTGTTTAATTTCAGCATTGTTTGTCATACCTTCTATTAGAGTGTCCAGCTCCACTGCAAAGCCTCCTAGCACTGAGTCAGTTAACCTAACATATTCTGACAAGAAAACTTAAGGCCTAATCCTAAAAAATACAATTCATCCTCTGACAATTTAGTGTTAATTAGACTTAAGACTCTAGGATGAAATTGGTGACCTGAAAACTGATGCAGAAGTGTTGAGGTACTTGTATGTTGTTTTTGCACAATCAAACGGTTTAATTTGTTGGTAAGACTTCTGTTCTTGGTGGATTGTAATCGGGAGACCTCATCTTCTATGTGGTTAAAGGAGTCGTTAACAAGAAACCAAGGATGTTGGAAAAAGAAAATATATAAATAGTTAAACTAATGTAGCAGTTTAAAAAACTTGAAATTAATATCCCCTAAAAGTTGTTTTCCTAAAGGCAGATCCATTACAATAAAACTTGTAATATTTGAAATGTATGAATCATTTTTTACTTAATCAAAAACTGCTGGCTGATTTTATTGGGACTAAAATTCAAGTAAAATCAAATGGAATTACTTTCTCCACAAGTTTTGTTGAAAATAGGATTTCGCAAGGCTCCATTTGCTCCAATACTAATTTTTTAGTATGGACCCACCTTCTAGTCTGTGTTTT